CACTGGATGCACCGCCACCAGCTGAATGCTTTCCTTTTCTTTCTTTCTCCCTTGCCCCTCCTTTCACTCTAAAACCATAATCAAATCAACTCTGTCACTGCTTCTAGGTAGGATTATTATCATCATTTTACAGATGGGGAAACTTAGGTTAGTAGAGGTTATGTAGCCTGGCTAGGCTCACATAGCCAGCAAGTATCTGAGGCTGGATTTGAACTCCAGTCTTCCCGACTCCAGGCCCAGCGCTCTACACACTGTACAACATTCCATGAAACAGCTTCCTACACACTCTTTAGCCCAGGCCTTCCGCAGGGTTGGTTGTTCGTCAAGCGGCCCCAGATGAAGGTTTGGCACCTTGTCATTTCTACGGCGGTCTGGCAGAGCACGAGAGTCCCCTTCTGGCACTTTGTGGGCCAATCACAGGTAACAACACTGACCCAATCCTTACAGACATATCCTTGTTGAACAGTACTGCAAGGGACGCAAGTGAGCCCAACCCTGGTGGATCTGTGCCAGGTGGTTCACTCTCCACCAATGACTGTGCTCAGCTTGCTGGAATCGGAGACTGTAGCACATGTCTGAGAACAGCTCTTGCCCCTACGCTAGCTACGCTTGCTCATCTCCAGGCTGGGAACCCTCCACAATCATGGCTGCTTCTCTCTTGAGCTCTGGAACGGTATTTAAGAAAGGACATGATCACGGGGAAATGGAGAAAGTGCTGCAGAACAGGAAGGCATTCCCCTGCAGTCTTGTTTAAACTGCTAATTTAATTAGCAAGCATTTTGGTTTCCCTCCCCTCACTCCGGCCCCTCAGGGATGATGCAAAGGAAAACATTAGCAGGACGCACACCCAAGTGATCCTCAATTCTGCGTCAGCGGGCTCTGATGTGACTGAGTTTAGCCTAACAAGTCTTAAGCTGGGCTACAGCGAGTGCAGCACCACTCGGGGCCACCTCTTTTCTGTTTCATTGCACACCCGTCACTGTTGGTCCCTTTCAGAGTATGGAGGGGATGTCCCTTTGAAGAACTTGGGAAATGGGCTTGCACTGTAAATCCCCAGGTTTACAGAGCAGGAAGGACTGAAGAGGTACCAGTCACAGGCAGCCTGCTCCAAAGTCCTAAACCAAGGACAAACTGTTATAGATCAACTAATCCACCAATAGCACAGGAAGTTACATTTTAAACTAAGAAATCCAAATCCATCTCCACCAGAATACACACCATGACAGTAGGTCACCTGGCCAGATGTTGGATATACAACCTTGGCCCGTGACCACACACAGACACATGCATGTACTTTATATGTTGCCTATGGGCTAGGTTCAAATGCTCCAGTTCGAGGATCCTATAATGACTGCTCTTCTCACTCTCTCATGATGCTCCTTTAAAAGCAGAGTCTAGGGGCAGTTAGGTGGCGCAGTGGATGGAGCACTGGCCCTGAAGTCAGGAGGACCTGAGTTCAAATCCAGCCTCAGACCAAACACTTGACACTTACTAACTGTGTGACCCTGGTCAAGTCACTTAACCCCAATTGCCTTTAAAAAAAAAAAGCAGAGTCTATTTCTGCTCACGTACATTTACTATTGCTTTAGAACTGGCTGTTATTGTTGATAAATAAAAATAAAGAAATAAAATTTTTAAAAAAATTTAAAAAAAAAAGAACTGGCTGTTGTGTGTGTGTGACTGGCAGGCAAGCTTGGCACTTAGGAAGATAAGGGAGATTTTAAAACCTGAGGGAGGGTACCACCTCAGAATCACTAAATCCATGATGCCAGTTCCCTCTGGCAACACTCCTCCCTCTGAACCCTACCCATCATAGGAAGGAGTCTCTTTCTCACTCCTTTTTATGGATTAGCCTTACTCTTCCTAAGATACTGTTTCTAGGTACTACTTGCAGGCCTTGTCCAATGCCTTATCCTTTATCTTTTAATGAAGTTTGTAATAAATTTTACATGGAAAAATTTTAATTGTTTTACAACTAGCACTGACATTTCTACACCATATCTCAAAGAATATTTGTAAAATATTAAAGTATGAAAGTAGCTCAGCTGAAATTCATAATAGGACCTTTTTTCATTTGGATTTTTCAGCCCTCTTTTCGTAACAATATTAAAAGTAATGTATCATCATAAAGTATAGAAAATATATGGCCATTTTAGTAGTTTGAAATTTTTCCACATGTTTAAAACAAAGGATTGCTAAGTTGTAGTTCGATCAGTATGCTGATTATTATTTTATAATCAAAGAAATATACCCACTTCACAAAGTTGTTGTGAAACAAATGGTTAACGTATGTAAAATTAATGTGCACACCTTAAATTGTTATATTAAGTCAGTTAATATAGTAGAGAAAGTTTATTATTATAATTGTTATAGATTAATATGTTGAATGGGATGATGGCAAGCTCAGCAGTTTAATCAACTCAACAAAGCAGTAGAAAGAGTTCTAGATTTAGGGTAATCAGACATGGGTTCACTTAATAGCCAGGTGACTTTAGGCAAGTCACTCGACCCCTGTGGGTCTGTTTCCTCATTTGTAAAATTTGGGATTTAGAAAAGCTGATCTCTAAGGTGTCTCAGGGATCAAAATCAATGATTTCTGTGATTACTTAATCTAATACATCAATTAACAGCCAAACACTATTAAGTGCATACTGTGCTAGCACTGTAACTCAGAGCAGACAGGCTAAAGCTCCTGCCCAGATAGTAATTTAAAACTCACAAAATAGCCATAATTTTTGCTTATATTCAGAAGATTAGGAGGCAATAACATAAAAAAAATGCCTTAATATTAAATAGGTTTATAATGACTAAATCCCAAAGCAATAGATGGTGAGTGGATAAGAGAGGTGCAAAGATCTAGGATGGGCCTTTGGGGAAAAGTGACTCAAGAATGAAGGGAGATCTGCATCGAGGAGTTAGCCTTTGAGTTGGGTTTTAAAGGTCTGGGAGGAATTCCACTGAAAAATCCAGCTGCAGTAACACTAAATCAAACTCTAAAGGAATGTAGATGGTTTCTTGATGATGGAAGGCAAGAATACTTTTTACTTGTCCATCAGAAGTGTCCCTAGCCAGAACTCCCAAGTTTTGTCTCTCATTTAAGCTCTCAAGGTTTTTTTCAGAGTGGCCCCATACTATAAAAAACTTGAGTGTCTAAGAAATGGACAAGGTAAAAGCTAGCAAAATGTGGTGAGCAGTTACAAATGGAGATTCCAGTAGAATCCCCTGAAGGGTATGGTAGAAGAGATGCTCAAAGTGACTAAGTTTCTTATTTTGTAAAAGTGACAAAGCATACTTAATGGTGTATTGCTTTATTCCTTGGCCCTAAAATATGTATTTTGCTCTCCTCTAAACTGTCAACATTTCTGCAGTCTCATTGCTTTATCTCAGTTGAACTATTCTTCAGTAAGCACTGCAGAACCAAATTTGTACCAGTGGAAAATAAAGGTAAAGAAGTTTCCATCGTTAACAGCCTGTAGGCTCACAAGATTGAACCTGTTCTTTTATCTGCCTATGTTCATTTAGCTCACCACGCAGTCTTTATTAAAGCTGAGGCATCAGGCAGTCAAAGTTCATTAATACCATTTATATAATCTCTGCAGTTTCAATTAACTCAGCAAGACATTCTACTACATGATAACAGTCTCATTAATTCAATAAAATCCCATAACTATTAACAATATGGTCTATGTTAAACGGGGTGTCACCTAGTACAAAATAATAGCTTTAACAGCTTGTGATGAAACTCAAGGTTTTTTCTTAAATTTGATCTGGCTAAATATTCAGTCCTTCTGCAGCAAGGTATTATTTCTCAGTAAAGAATCTACAGGATTTTAAACATGTGCAGGGGGTAATTAAGCCTTTTAAGTCATACCCAGGAGTCAGATAATATTACTTTCTTGTTCAATAAATGATAGACTTTGTCTAAATTATCTAGAATGGGATCCTCCATTTCCCTATCTACTCTTCAACACAAGTGCTCTGAGTCACATTTATTGAAAATGGTGGGGCAGGGCAACATTACGTTTCTGGTTCTCTGACAGCACAACAATATTCTATTGGTACAGAATTGCCTTAATACAATTTTTGCTCTTCTTCACAAACATAAAAAAGGAGGAAAAAGTACGTTGAATAATGATTCTCTGGTTTGATTATATACCAAATTTTCAAATTGATTCCATTCCTATTCAGTTCTTTTGTTTCTATAATAGATTTTTTTTTAATGTTTAGTCAAAATTTGATTTAAAAAAATGTTCTTTTGATATTTGACCCAGGATAAAGATAGAATTTATCTTTTACACTGTAAAATCTGATTGCTAAAAAAAAAAAAAGACAAACTCACGCTTATCCCTTTCCAGGCAATGTTTTCAGAACATAATCAACCTAGGCAATTATGTTGTCTGTACTTAAAAAGAAAGTCATGATAAACTTACATATTTCTTGAAACACTGTGAGCAAATAAAGGAAATTTCCTCTTTTGAAAAAGGTAATGCATTAATTTTCTGAGCGTTAATGACTGTGTTGGGTCAGATAACAGGATCATGATGAAACTATGCATTTTCAATTGCTATAAGCAACTTTTTCAAACTCTGATTTCTGCTAAGTTTTAGAGACTAATGGGGCACTTCATAACCTTTTACATTATTTCACATATTTATAAATGCTGTACTTGGATACAATATTTATACATACAACCATGGAAAGTTTTATTACTAGATTGGCTTCAAAAAGGCTGTTTATAAACAAACTCCCAAAAGTTGAAAGAAAAGCTTGAGCAGCCTTATAGAAGACAATTTGGTGGAATGTCTTATAATGAGGAGGAAGCATATGTGCGTCAATGAGCTTACTTTTCTTCACATGCAGCTGACAAGCATCTCTCTGATTGCCTGAGCATTATGATACAACTCTGGATACAATAAAGCCTACATTATTGCACTATCATTTGTCAAGCTGTATAGAAAATTTTGAGTCAATGGATGCCACCTGTACGATATTTTCATTACCTGTTTATAAAGCAACTGCTCGTTTTCTCTCGCATAACAGAAAAGAACATCTGTAAGAATTTTTCTCACATTTTCTTGTTGGAAATACTGCATTTCAGGAAACCTGAAAAAAGAAAACAGAGTCCTGAGGCAGGCAGCCCAGCTTAAAGAGACTTCTGCAAACTCTCACTTCTGACAAGCACTAGGGCTTTTTGAGCTTTCTATTCAAGGCATTATCTGCATCCCAATTTTTCCCTCTGGCAAGATTAATGTTTTAATAAAACAGGAATGAAAAAAGGAGGGAAAAAAATACTTGTACCTCACAGTTAAATATCCTTTAACCTAAAAAAAAATCAAATTATTTTGTACACATAAAAGTAGAAACATATAACCCCCCCAACAATAATGGCAGGCCATATGTACTTCACATGTATGATCTGATTTGATGTGTACAACATCTCCAACTATGGCTGAGCAGATGGGAATCCTATACATGTCTAAATGAACAATTCTCATGGACAACTTATCCAACTTGATACAAATCTTAAAGAACTTTAATGATTATCTATGGTGATGGCTTCAGCTCTCTTAATAAAATGTAGTACTCTTCACTAAGAGTGTACTGGGGGCTCTAGGTGGAATAAAAACAAAGGAAAAGACAAAGTGCCCCTGCTCTTTTGAGACCATAAATTCTGAGAAAGATAAATCATACATACATATAAATATGTACATGAAACAACTGAAGATAATTTCAAACCAATATAACCATATACATAAATTAATATACTACCAATTAGGTATAAAAAAATTGAGGCTGGGTATAGCAATGCTGTGAGAAAAGTCAGATGCAGAGTTACTGCAAGATTTCCTACAGGTGAGTTTTAAACTAGGATTTTAAGACTGCATGGGAACATAGGGAAAGGACATGCCAATAAATGGGACTGTCACATTAGAAAGCACAGACACTAATAAATGATTCGTGTATTTAGAGATTATTATTCTTTATCAGAGGGTCCATGTGGAAATGAAATTGGTAACATGATTGTGTTGCCTAACAGGGGGAGAGAAAGAATAAAAGGTAGGGAAATTGGCAAAGAGTTCCAAATCCTAAGCAGAGAAATTTATCTGTAATATGGGTAGATTCCTGAGTGGAAGATGAAGAAACTATGATTGAAAAAGATAATTCAGGCAACTGTGTGTTAAATGAATCAGGACAGAATCACAGAAGAGAAGGGGATGTGAGATGCTGTTGCTTAGTTGCTTCAGTTGCGTCTGACTCTCTGTGACCCCTTCTGGGGTTTTCTTGGTAAAGATACTGGAGTGGGCTGTCATTTCCTTCTCCAGATCATTTTACAGATGAGGAAACTGAGGGCAACAGGGGTAAGGTCACATAGCTAGTATGTGTCTAAGGCCAGAGTTAAACTGAGGAAGAAGAGGCTTACTGATGTCAGGCCTGGCATTCTGTGCATGATGGTGCCTAGCTGCCTGTAAAGGGGATTTTTACAGAAGTGGAACTGATAGGAGTAGGCAACAAATTGGATATGGAAGAAAAAGAAGGAGGACTAGAGGATACTGCCAAGGGATGTGACCAACCCATCATAAGAAGTTGGTACCAACTCTCAGACCAAGCTTGTAATAAGAACTTTTAACACTTCATGTATTATTAAACTATCAGGGTAAAGCATCTAATTTGGTCCCACTTCATAGAAATTACTTATTGTAATTTCTTCTGCCTAAATACTTCCTGGCCACACATCTGTTTTATTTGGAAAGAGATATTCTCTTTACAATTGTAATTCATTACTGCTTCCAGTTTTGGTGGAACTGCCATTCTACCTGAGGTACAAATCTTGTTAAAACCCCAACCTCTAAATGAGGTAACGCCAATTTCCTCTTATTCTCTACCGTGTCTCTCCACTGGATGCCTTGCTTCCATTCTGATCAGTTGTTCTCTATGGACCAAAAACATCTGGCCTCTTTTTGAAGACTATGAGAAATATATCCTGTTCACCCAGTAAAACGCAGCTGTAATTGCTCCACATATATACACTGGAAGTGTTCAAGCAGTGCTTTGCTGACCACTTGTCCAAGATGCTGCTTCGAGTAAGGGGTGTATCAGATGACCTTTGGGGTTCCTTTCAACTATGATTTTTATCAAAATATTGAGATGACCGATTATCCAATAGATGTCTCCTACTCAGGCACAAGCACTAGAGTCCATCAGCTTCTGAAGAGAGGGAATATAGATGCAGAAAAGTGGAAAAATCTCAAATTAAATACTGGTTTAACTGGCACTAAGGAAGAGAAAACGTGAAGGAAATTGGCAAAGGCAAAACTAAACGGCAGTCCAAAAGATACAGGAAGAGGATCACAAAAACCAAGGCTATTTTATAGTACACCAGTCAATCATGTCAAATGCATCAAGAAGGGAAACAATGATGGTAACTGAGACTCACTTTGCTCAGAGAAAAGTCACAGACCTTAGAGAGAACAATCTAATGGAGTGCTAAGAATGGCATCTGAGTAGAAAATGTTAGAAAAGAGTATGTGACAAAGAGATGGCAACAGTGGCAGAATACCTAAGAAAGTTTAGTGATAGTGGCAGAAGTGAGATAGTAACTGAGGGATAGATGAGTCAAGAGAATGTGACACCTCTAATGCCTCTCGGTCTAATGGAGAGATGAACATAGTTAAAGATGGAGGAGATATTGTTAACTAACATCATGTGAGTGTCAGTTCTGACCAATGGAGGGAAAAACAGGACCATCAAGCTCCTGAGGCCCTTGTGCAGTTATTCTTTGGAAATCTCCCATGCAAACAATGGCCTAACAAGATTCTATGTAGTATTCAAGATCAGAACCAAAAATTGGAGAAAGTTCCAAAAAGTACCTTACTTACTTCTGTCAACAAATATGTATGAACTATATAGTAAGAGTTTAATATCTATCCACTAAAAATGTAAATTATATTACATACCAATTCATGGTTTCATTTAAATGCACACTAACCACTTCCAAGATTAAAAACTAGAGATCTACCAGAATTAAATTGCAGGTAGATAATTTAAATTACCCACTTTTAGCAAATACCCAATCAACTGAAAATGTGTATTAGGCAGACATAGCGTACCTCATCTAAATGCAATAGCACACCATCCACAATTCTACTCTACAGGGTTGAAGTGCCAATTTGTAAAATCTCACAGTCTTCCCTTTTTGGAAGAAAAAAAAACCCCTTTAATCTTTAAAGAGGAATATTTGTCTATATATTCTAATGGGGAATCCACAGAACCATACAAGGTAGACATACATATATGCTAAACTACTAAAAAGAAGTCTGCCCTACTTTAGAAGATGGAAAAGCAATTATCAAATCCTAACATTTTGAGCACTTTAGAGATTATAGTCCCACGTTTTATACATGAGGAAACTGAAGGACAGAAAGCTTAGGTGACTTGCCAATTTGCAAGGGAGCTTAGACAGTGCTGGCATGTCGTAAGGACTATATAAATGCTTATTCCGTTCCTTTCGCTTCCCACTTGTCCAACTTATAGACTATCGAAACCTAACTCCCACTTCAGTGTTCTTCCAACTATATCAGAAAGCTTTTCTAATTATATAATATGCTAAATAACGCAAAGAGATGTATTTAAGTAAAAGTTAATGAGTGTAGGGGTATATTAAAAAACCTGGGTAATGAATCTGGAAAAATATAGATAGACAGATATTCCACTATGTTAAAAAAAAACCCTCAACATTTTATAGTCATGATACCTATCTTCAAATGTACAGAAGAAGATTAAACTGTTATCAGGGAGATGAAGTGGGAATTCTAAACAAGTAATACTCAATTTCTCATGGTGCCTATTTTATTTCTTCTTCCATCTATATGCTTCAAGGCTCTCTCTTCCTTTTATAGGATATGTATATGTGTATGAACACACTGTGTGGGTATATATGTGCATATGTGTATACGACACACACACACACACACACACACACACACTTACATACATACAGGAAAAGCAAATTAGACTGTTATCCTAATCTTCCCCAAATTGGAACAATAAACCATCCTTAAAAAAAAATCACACAATGGCTTTCACAAGTAAGATAAATCAATAGCATGTTACGTTGGTATGGAATCAATGTTGAGACCATAATTTCATGTTTAAACAACAGCAAATGACAGTTTGTTTCTGGATTGTATTTTTGTTTTTTAACAAAGAATATGCAGATAGAGAAATACTTACAGAGTGAATTAGGAGCTATGTCTTAATTACAATTTATTCATTCAACAGGATATGATAGAAACTGTGTGCTGTAAAATAGAGGGAGGCAAAAATCTCACACACACACATACACAGAAAACAAAACTATTTAAGACAAAACTGAAGAAAGTAGTTCCATCTTGAAATGTTAATGAGATGTTCTGCATCTGATCAGAGGTTACAATTAGAAAGCTGATATGAGAGAGTAAAACTACAGATGGAAAGCTGAATGGCAAGAGAAACTAATGTTGGTGACTCCACTTAAAACATCCTTCCAAAGACAGTGAAGAAGAGTCTGGGTTTTTTAGTTGATTGAAGAAAGTGGATTTTCTGTTGCAACTCTATTTTTTAGCATTTTGAATAGGTCTGATTGTTTCAGGAGTTGTCTGATATTTGACCAAATTTATCACATTATTAGAGAGTGTTAAAAAAAAAAACCCAAAAAACAAACCAGCCCAAAACCTGATTTATGATTCAATCTGTCTTTCTTTGAAACAAAATGGTAGATAATATTTTTAAATAGATATTTTCTGCAACCTAAAAGTAGTTTATGTTCATTCAACTAAATGCTTTCTATATACAAAGCACTATGGAAGCTAGGTAAGAGACAACAGAATAAAAACTAAATAGCACTTGCCTTCAAAGGGTTTACAACCTACTAGGAAATACAATATGTACGTATATATATACACCCACACACATACATACATATACATTTACACATATATACGCACATGTATGTAAATACAAGAAAATATAAGGAGAGTGAGAAAGTACTACTCTGTGGGCAAGCGGTGGGAGGGTAGAAGGGATCTGAAAGTTAATAAGAAATAAGGAAAGGCTTCCTATGATAT